ATTGAAAAATTTTGTGTATGTAAATTTTGTGTGTTGCAATATTGGAACACTTTTACAACAGCATATTCTTTGTACTGTAACAAGGACATTCTTTACACGCGCCGTTAAATTAAAAAACGCAATTTAGGCTTAATAACTGTAATTTGGAAGAAACTTGAATTCTTATCAAACATAATATATTGACCTTGCTACTAAAACTTTCGTTAAGCAAACATACTAAAGAAATACAACTCAACATGTTTTCGTTAGATTTTCAATTTTTATAGTCTCATTTTAAAAGTAATAAATAAGTTACATGTAAATTAGATATACAATAGATTATTGGAAGACAAATATAAAAAAAATTTTAATTTGCTATAAAAATTATACATCATATAAGTAATAAATTCATTCGTAAACAAAAACAAATATATATTGCTATATATAGAATAATTTAAAAGATTTGAGACAGGCCTTTTTTCTACCCTTCGGGGTCTCTTTTTGATGGCCCACACCTGACGCAGCCGGGTCCGATGCCGTCAGGGCTCATAAGATTGTACTGAATTCCACGGACGGTTTGAATGCACGGTTAAGGGCGCCAACTAATTTTTATAAAATTAGTAAAAGGATTTATTTTGGAACGGTGATTAAGCTGTGAAGTTTTATAAGGATTTTGGGGGGTTCACTGGAGGGACCCTGGAGTTTTATAGTTTACAATGCAACCGGCGCTTGCAATAATCGATCCGAAATTTCCTCGGGCAAAACAATAAATTTTATTATGTACTTACAATCGAAGGCAGGAACCCGCTCGACAAATTTAAAATTTGATTCTCTACTACAGTACGCTCTATCTGCTCTCTACCACTTTTCTCTTAATTGTCTACCAAGGGTACGACGATCCGACTCCTCGGGGGCTGGACTCCGGGTCCGCTTTTCCCACCGGGACGCACTCATTGTCAGTCGCGCGGCCTTCCCAAGAGTGCCGTTGCCGAATTTCCTCGGTCCAACGGCCCCCAGCCACGGGTCAGTCCGGGGCCGTAGCGGTGGTCTGCGCGTGCTTAAGCGGTGGTGATGGGCGTCCATCCCCCGAAATTGAAGTCTCGACCTCCGATCGTTTTCGGCGGCGGCCGCGCTTTGCTGATTTTGTATCTTCGTCCATCGGGGCGGAATTCTCATTATCCACTCCCCCCTTTATGTGGTTGCTGGCCAATTCCCGCTAATTGCTCTTTGTTAACTATTCAATTAGACTGCGTGGTTCCCGCTTCGCTAGACTAAGCAATAATTTCGACGTTCACATATGTTTTATAATTGTTGGCTTGATACTTGTTTCGATTTTCCGCGGGAACTCCCGGCGAGTCGGATCGAGTCGATGTCGACGTTGAGGGGAAACAGACGGTACCTTGTAACTGTCACAGATTCTTCATAATTTTGAAATGTTCACAGTTTTGAAATGTTGCTATAATATTGTTCAAATTACATTTTAAATGTACGTTTATACAATGTTTCTACGATATTGCACTGTAATGTATGATATTGCAACGTTACTGTAATGCAGTTACAAAGAGTGACCCTAAAAAGATCCCAAAAATCGTCTATTTCGTCACCTTCGAAATCCGGTTTGAATTTGGTTCTAAACGATAGTTTATAATAAGACATTAATCTTGAAAAGTTTTGAATTGAGCCTACTTTCAGTTGCTGAGTTATTTGTTCACGGCATCAGCCCATAAAGCTGGGTATACATCTACGAACAAACACCGAACGAACAATCCAGTAATGGTAGGTTTTTAAGCGTACTATAATCGTGTGGCAAAATTTTATAATTTTATAAAGCCAATTTCAAATTGCTCACGATTAAAAAATTGAAAGTTTTAAATACCAATATCATTCACTTCTGACCTGAGTGTTTTAAGTATGAAAATGTTCCGCTATGCGGTTCGCAACTTATCCTAGCATTATTTTGTGCATAAAAGCTATTAAAAAGGTTTACTAGCGCAAAAACTATATTCGAATGTGTCGGTAAAACAGATGACTTTAGAATCCTCTTAAAAACCTAAACTCTTTTTTAATATCCTGTATAACATCTCAAGTAGCAAGATGACTGATATCTTAATAACATTTCCAACATCTTAATGACATTTCTAATGTAAATAAGACGGTTGAAACGTCATTTGACGTCGATTTGCTATTTTGCGTGTGATATATTGCAGCAATGTAACTGTAATATTTCAATGTTTATGAAAGTGTATGTCAGTAATGTGTAATATTTCTGTGATATTGCTGCAATATTACGCGCTATGTAGGGTATCATTATGTAGCTTTTATCCAAATATTTGTAGTTTGTACAATTGCTGGAAAAGTTTCTAAAAATACGAGTAATACATTGGAAAATTGATCAAAAAATCACTCCATTTTAAAATAGGATATAAATATTTCTAGACATAAAGATAGTTCGTACCGCCAATTAATATAAATCCCAGTACATCCAATAAATAATGCAACCGAGAACAAGTATTATAATATATGTATAATACGTGCGAAATTAAAAGTCAGGAATGCGGAACAAATTTTTTCCTTTATGAAAAGGATGACTTGACAAATTGGAAAATCAATAACGTATTTACGCACTCTTTGAAACGGAATAATGTAGCTGATTCATTTGTATAGGAAAGATTATATTAATATAATAAAAATGTAACAGGTCTTAGTATAATTAACATTTCAAATTAAACCAGGAAACAAGAATGACCAATGCGAGTCAAGAGAGGATGTAGGTAGCCTATACTTGTAATTGTGAATAAATTGTGAATTCATATACGATGATACGATGACGACCTCAGTGGTTGTCGAGTTGGCTGAGACGCCCGTCACGGATTGAGGAAGGTCCCAGGTTCGAATCCTGGTTGAGGTAATATTTTTCGCAAGAAGAATAAATTACAGTAAGGGGAGGGGAGGATTAAATGCTAAATGTAGCATCTAAAAATGCCAAATTGTAGCATTTTTAAATATATTTACAAATATATTTTTTGGTACTAAAATACAATTATAAATTTTTCTGTGTTAAAAACACATCGCCAGTCATGGTCGATCAACTGCTTAATCATGTCAACTGCTGGCGTCAAATGATTCTTGATGATATTTACAAATCGTTTATCGATTTGAATATGAAAAATTACTGACGATAATAACTCCACCTGTAAGAAGACTGTGTTATGTCCAAAAAGAAACCGGGGCGCAGGACAAATGTGGAAAAAGAAACGGTATATGAATTCACAATTTATTAAAAATTACAAGTATAGGCCATCTACTTCCTGCCTTGACTCGCATTAACTATTCTTGTCTCTTGTTTAGTTTTAATGAGAGTCCTACTTTAACTCTAATTTTTATTTGAACTTAAGTTAGAAACACGTTTCCGACATTCATTTCTGCACTTCTTCCATCTTTGCATTAATGCGAAAATTATAAAAGCACTTAATTTTCTTAAAAACACTTTGAATATTTCTTGTTATGTATATTTCGTTTTCTCGGCGAGACAGACGATTATTTGAAAATAGAATAATTCATACAAAATGTAGTGGACATTTTACTATATTATATCTACCGTTAGAAGACTCTTGCGATGATGGGATGCGTCGTCTGTTCGTGATGCAGCCTCGTTCAATAATACCAGAAAGAGACTATTCTAGGTCAATGCTCTTACACAGTGTGGTGTTAGGAAATTGCATTACCTTTCGCGAGATAAATTTTAGTCATAATCTACGTATAGATTTTATTTCATGTCTAATAAAACTTTAAGTTGAATAAAAAATAAGACTTTTAATAAATCTTCGGTAAATCGACGATAACATTTCATTGTAGTGGATTTTATTTTAGCTGAATCTGCAATTCCTGAGTAATTTGCGCAGACTTAATTCTTCTTTTATACGGTGTGATAATGTTGACATAGCAAATGTTCCACGTAACATTTGCCTCGTCATGTTTAAAGAAATTCAATATTTTGTACGACTGAAAAAGTCGACAACAAAAATTATTTATTGAATTTTTTTGAGACAGGATATTTCTACAATTAATGATATTATAGCATAACATGTCATTTAATTATAATCGTGATATTTTAATTACTTTGATAGTAATAAACACAATTATATTTACAATTATGATTATATTACAATATTATAATTAACATAAAATAAAGAACCGACAATTTGAAGTACTTGTGATCATTTTAATTATAACAGTAATTATAGAATAGTTCGTCACGAAAAGAACAAGCGTTGTTCGGAGGGTATTTCTTAAAAAAAAAAAGTATAAAAATTCATATACACCGTAAGTCGAGTTGACTTCGTTTCCAAGATAAGGATTGAAATGCCAATGTACCGGAGGTTGCACTTTTTCTTGCGGGGCCGTATAATTTCCGGAGTATACTTGCACTGGAAAGCAAGAAATACGAGATCAGTGAGTACAGGCGATAACAGAAACTGCAGGTAGAATACATCGTAATTGCTAATGTTCTTTGAATGTAATCACTGGAGTAACGGCTCGCAGCATGTTTGCGGCACTGTGATAGACAATTTAAAACAATATCTGTGAACGGGAGGGCATTGTACTGTAATTGTCAAGTGATACTTAACATTAATGTGATTTCATATCGATAAATCAAACGGTCATTACATATACATGGAAATCAGAGAGCTTTCAGTATGGAGCCTTGTACAATAGTGTTCTTTTCTCATATCTTGGGAAGCCAAATCGATCCATGATATATATATATATATATAAACTTATCTAGTTAGGATAACCATCCGAACACGTTGACAAAATTTGTCGATTTCGTGACAGAACACCCTATATATACAAACGGGAATGGAAGATAAGGATAGATAAGTATTGAAAGAAAATAACTAAATGGAATGAGATCAGTACTAAAAGTAATGGAACATATTTTTGTGTCATGTTTTTTTACAGTGTCGTTTAAACCTACCTTTTGGAGTTTTGCGCATTTTTCTAGGCCACAATTTATTAGAGTGCTCACTTTGTTGATGGCGTGGCATTGACGTTCGAGAAGAATTTTCAGTTGTAATATGAATTAATGCGAACGATCATTATCCTCGCAAATAACTCATCCCATTGAGACTTATGATACCACGCGACTTAATAAGAAAACATTTTGAAAATTAAAGTACTTTCACACTGTAAAATTGTTCCCACTGCCGTCCGTTGCTTTCGATTTAATAAGCGAATGTGTCGATTATTATTTCTCTTTTTGACGACTTTCTCGCCGTTCTTTTCTCCCGTTATTATTTATCCATGCTGCACATTTTACTGTATAAAACACACGATGTGCATTATATTGCTTTCTTCCTTGCAAGTCTGTCACTATAATCGGCCCAATCTATTTACAATAGCATCAGTAAGTTACTTGAAGAAAAGAAGAGCAATTTTTAATATAAATCATATTTGTAAATTGTAATTTTAATTATGTAAGACTTAAATGAAACAGCTGCCAAATTTGAGAAAACAAACCTCTAGAAACTATGTATAAATTAATTTTTAAATTAATTCACAGTGTTTTATAAAGTATAATTAATTACGTATTTAACGTACTCAATTCCATTTTTTATTTAACTTTTTTGTAAACGTCTATAAAATCTACAATTTTCTAAAGGTTAATGATAATTTCCTAATTGATTGAATTTTGATTAAAATTCAAAAGGTCGATTTAAATTAACAGTTTATTGGCTTGATTTCAATAAAATAGAAAGCCTATAACGTGATTAAAATTTGGCGATTTGGATAGAATCAAAATGGCTGCGTTTACTTTTTACTTTTAAAATTACGTAGCATTGTACCATTAACGTTATTTTTATTATGTACTTGAATTTAATATAAAATGTTTTATATTTAAAGAATTTTTTAAATAAATTCTAATTTTAAAACAGAATCTAAACAACAAAAACTTAGCGTGAAATTTATCAAATTTTTATTTTACTCGTTTACTCTCACGCAAAATTTAAAATAACTTTATCAATCAATTTCAACAAATATGCTTTTAAAACGGTTTTGTCAATTTCACAATTTTTTAAAATAATTTTGTTAACAATGTATTTTTAACAGTGTAAAAGAGAAGAAGCACTATGTAAGGATGTATTTCACAAAGCAACGAACTTGGCCAAGCGTTCCGTTCGCTACACAGACCCGGCAAAGACTGCGATTGACCCCAATTCTATAGCGTACTACATATATCCGGAATACTGACAGTATGGTAAAGCAAGGTGGGGACCTGTGAATCGGTAGTAGATCCATCAAGTGTCTAATAACAAATAATAATTCACGTTTTGCGATATTGGAATTACGCGAGAGAAATGTTGCTTTCGTATAAAGGAATTTTTCAGGTAATTTCCGAAAAAACGCGATATATATACAGGGTGTACTAAAACCACCGGATATCCTTTTAATCGCAGATTCCTTAGAAAATTTCAAGAGGAAAATTCTAATAAAAAAATGTCGAGGCTATGATAGTTTTAAAATAATAAGCGATTATATTTCACAAATGATAGGTCTGAGATTTCGCGCGTTCAGGCACGGCGACATGACGAGTGATAAAAGTATTCCTTATATGTGTTTCGCGAGCGAGCGAGAACCAAAGTCACTGTTTAACGGGATAGAAAATATTTGGGAAGACGATGATCCGGTTATTTTGAAAACTTGAGGCTAAAGAGAGGCAGGAGACTAGATTGAATCTAATTAAAAATTCCAAGTTCACTCAGAATATCGGAGATCGACTAAATCGAAGGATATCAGTCTGATCAAGATGCTCATCATAGTGAACCCCTCCCTTTTATTAATAAGACGTTACACAAAGTTAACAAAAGAAATGGTTAAAGATAACAAGAGGAACAATTAATTCGAGAATGAATTGTTGAGTCTGCTGTGAAAGTTGTCACTATGCTAAAAAGGGCGATATTCGTAGAAACGCCTTTATCACTTGTCGTGTCGCCGTACCTGAGCGCGCGAAATCTCAGGCCTATCATTTGTAAAATGTAATCGCTTATTATTTAAAAACTATTATAGCCTTGACACTTTTGCATTAGAATTTTCGTCTTGAAATTTTCTAAAGAATTTATGATTAAAAGGATATCCAGTGGTCTAGTACTCCTTGTATGTATATGTATACAAATCTTAATTTTAATTTGTAATAATAAAGTAACAAAACTTTCTTAATCAAACACATGTCCAATTTATCATGTTAAAACGTGAGTAATAATGCATACCGAGTAAAAAATCATTAGTAAAAGAAAAGTTTTACCAAATAAGATAATTTTTTTACGCAGCTATTCAAAATGTCTAACACACAAAAGCACACGTATACATGTACATACTAATATGTATTCCACAAAGTTTACCAGATTTTCAACTAATAGATTTCCCACCAAAGAAAGAAGTTTCTTTGTTCTCACCAAGTCATCCTGAGAAATTGAAATAAATTAAAAGTTACTTATTTTACGAAATTAATTTTACGTGCCTATAATAATAAATATTAATAAAAACAAAATACTCTGGGATTAGATCGACCAAGGCTGGCAGTTTTATTTTAAATTTTACCACGACGTTTCGGCCAGTAATACTGGTCCTTTTCAAGTGGATCCTATAGCTTGTGACAACGAAGCATAGGAAAATATAAATTTAGGCTAATCGTCATCGCACATAGAAATATACGTCTTCGCACGTGTCATGTCACCAAGAGACAATCCAGTCTCTTGGTGACATGACACGTGC